TCTAGCAAACGTGAATGACTGGTCATAGGGAAATAACATCAACTTCAACACCTAGAAATGCACAACGCTTACTGTGACGCGGATGAAAACTGCCTTGATTTACGAATACATCATAAACAACACACAACTTGTACGAGTGTCCGCGGAAAAAGATCTAGGAGTTACAATTATGGGTACGTTGTCTTGGCACTCTCATATATACACCATCACCGCCAGAGACAACAGGCTCCTTGGGCTCCTTAAGCGGACATGTCCATTACTAACTGACGTGTCTACCCGGCGCGCGCCATACTTATCGCTGGTCAAGACACAACTCTGCTGCCGTACTCAAGTCTGGTCGCCCACTAAGGTTTCCCCTGAAGGCACAAGTCGAGCGGGTGCAGCGGCGTGCTAACAAATGGATCTTACAAACCCGGATCGGCGAGATGTCTTGCAGAAACAGACTTATTACCCTGGACTTACTCCCTCTTACCTACGACAGAGAACTGAAAGACCTGGTATTCTTTTATAAGTGCTTATTTAATCATATTCACCTTGATGTATGCATTTGCTTCAATTCCTGCCATTTGAATTAACAACTTTTTTAACAACTTTATTTGGTTTATAACATAGTACTAACTACACCTCTAGCTTGTAGCACGAGCAAGTTCTAACTAGTGTCTACGTTCAGGGCTAGTCAATGTCAAAGGACGTTCTCAGGCAGTCAAAAAGTGTTTGTTTGACGAAAAGCTGGAAGGAGAGCGGACTCGAAAAACTAGAAGAAGGAGCAATAGAACAAGAGTAATTCCAAAGTTTCTCAATGCGATTAAAGTAGGAGGCCTGAAAGGGGCTCGTTTCACAGATTGGTGTTTTTAAATTAAAGGAGTTGCTTGGTCTACTACGGCCATGAGAAATAAAGTTTGTGAAACTACGTGCCTGTTCTTTCGAATTTCACAAATTGCCTCTATCACGTGTTTATTTCTTTGATAACACACTTTTACAAAGAGTGAAAGAGAGAATGCTGTCAATGAGGGAATGCAGAACTATCATTGATATACGAGTAATTAAAAAAACTATTGTGGTCAATTAAACATGTAACAAGTTGTACTTATTCTGCAGCAATCCAATATGAACGAGTTCGCATACGATTAGTTACACCTTTTCCAACATAAACATGAAATGCGCACCGTGAATCTTTTGTTATAATAACAAGATACAAAAGAACAAAAATAGTCGTACAAAATCTAGGTAATCACTCAGTTTTGACACAAAGCTGTATTTACTTAGTAATTTCTCTGTGGCCTAATACAGTGTGAATTAGAAATCATGAATCACTGGTGATCTTTTCTCGCGTTTTTCATCCATTAAAGAGAAAGCTCAAAAGTCTGATTGGACATGAGATCTAACGAGTAACTTTTTGAACTTTTTGAAGAACATTCTTTTAGCATTAAGAGCGGAATTAAAAGGTAGCAAAAGTGAAGCCTTCAAAAATTTCACTGGACAAGA